ACCTGTCTGAAATAGCACATCCCTGATCACTCTCAGCTTTCTCATTTACTTTTTTATTTTTCTTTCCCAGCACTTACCACCACTTGCCATTAAATTTGTTATGTGTCATGTCTGTCTCCCCAGCTAGAATGTAAGCTCCATGAGGAATTTATCTGTATGGTTCATCATTCAAGCACCTAGAATAGTACCTGGCATGTAATAGATAACCTTTCATTAAAAAAAAAATGAAACTGTGGTTAGAGAGGTTAACAAGATCACAGGGAATGAATGAATGAGTGGCGAATCAAGGGTTCAAATTCAGGTCTTTCTGATGCCTAAACAAACATTTTTCCAAAAACACCCTACTATTGCCCTAAGCACTCAACTATTTATGTTGCTAAATTCCCTTATATTTAACATTATAAGGTCTGGTCATTATAATTCTATTTTCCAATTATCATATATAATCATGCCGTTCTTACTTTTTTTTCCCCACAGAAGAATGGTGATTTTTCCACCTGTGGATAAATTGTTCCTGGCTTGCAATGAAATCGAATCAAACATTTTAGCTGTTTTCTAAATCTGTTTTATGCAATGTGTTAATAAATAATAAAAACAATTTATTTTGGTTCAAAAAGTTGTACACTTATTTAAAACCAGAAGACATTGAAAACTTCATTCAGTTCTTTCTATCTCTACCCTGTTCCAATTCTCTTTTGCTATTTTAAGATACCTACAGGAAAATATTTTATCATTTCCCTTCATAGATTGTATCTATAACATACCCTCAACTATTTTATAAAATCTTTAAAATAATCTTGTCAATATTATATTGAGATCACATATGAATTTATTTTTTTCTAAAGGCCCAACAATAATCTATACTATGTAACGTGTAGCTTCCAATACACAGCAAAGCATTCTCCTTTTTCCATCTAACTGAATCTTTCTCAACATTCTCGATCTAGAATAAATCCTATCAAATAGCACACATCTTGAATACTTACCAAAAAAAAGAGGCTGCTCATAGTCTTATCTCATTTTACCATGTAATCTTCCCATTTTTATGTTCTTCATACCAAGCATTTTATAGAACTGAATACATTTAGCAAAAACTGTAATTTAGACCTACTACTTGCAAGCCTCTTTGCACATTAAATGCATTAAATATAAACATAAACTTCAATATCATCCTGATTTTAGTATTGTTATCCTGTAACATGCAACATGTAATAGAAAGTATAAGATAAAGCAGAAAGTGATTCCTTAAGAGAGTTAAAGTGCTACAGAAGTTCATATAAATTACTAGGTAGAAATTGAGGGGGATGACTTAGCGGTAGCAGTCAGAACAGGCTTCAGGGAGGGCTGTGGAGGATGGGTAGAATGTTGACAAAAGAAAAAAAAATGCTATGCAAAAAAGAGATCACAGGATGAGCAAAGTCAGAAAGTCAGAAGAAAGACTGCATGAGGCTGAGGGGGTGGTTACGTTCAGGTAACAACAGGCAGTTTTCCAGTCTGATTTTTAAAGCAAATTTATAAAGGAGAATAATGAAAAATAAGGCTGACAGTAAGGTTTCAAATGCCCCCATTTTTGCTTCTAATCAACATTAGAGAGGCAAAAGAAAAGACAGGGTCATGCAGACCTAGTTCATTACATATTCCATCTTTCTAATTTCAATCCGGTTTTTATAGGACTTATTTTTTGACCAATATATATAATCTCTAGGCAACCGTAATACTTAAAGTAGTTATTTCTACAATGTATTCTTTCTGGAACACTTATGAAATCCTTATCTGCCAATTTTCTCAATGAACACATACTTCTCATCTTCTGAAGACTAATGAGACCATGAGAAATAAGCCCCCTTGTACCTGACTTTCCACCAGAGTGATTTTAATGATTGTTTTCTCACTCCTCTCTAGTCTCAAAAAAACAACAAAGAAAAATCTTCCCCATTAAGGCACCCGTCCCATCTAAACTCTAGAACTAATCCTTCATCATTTCCTCTAGAAACTGATTCCCATAGTTTCCTCCCTTTATTGCAGGATATGGATGTGATACAAATTCCAATGTGAGAAGCAGTTCATAGATAAGACATGAGTGTAAAATAGTTTATATTGAAGATCAATCATAAATATCCATCTAATTACGCACTGTCTGTCAAAAACACTCTCAGACAAGATGAAACTTTTCCATGAACCATATAGAGCCTGTTGGCCTGCCACTTTGCAACCATTTGCTACACTGTACCTATAAGGCCAATGTTTACCTCTCTTTTCCATTAGACCTAGTGTTTTGAGTAAATGAGCTAGTTCACTGGGGAAGAAAGACATGTAAATGATTTATTATAATAAAATATGTTCAATATTGTAATATAGCTGTATAGTAGTACTATGGTAAGGAAGGAGTTATCTAAGATAAATTCTCCTAAGACTGACAAGCTTAATCTTGATAGATATTTAAGAGCTTTCTAGGCACCCTAAAGAAGAAAAGGGCATTCTAGCTCAAAGAAATAGAATATACTTGATTTAGGGGTATTAAAGAGTAGGATGTTAAGGAATTGCCAAGTGTTCTTGTACAAATAGACGACAGGCACATGTAAGAATGGAGATGGAGATGAAATTAGAAAAAGGAACAGGGATAAGATCACAAAGGGCAATAGGAAGCCATTTGAAAGTTTTAAGTGGGGGAATCAGCATGATCTGTGTAACAGTGTAGAACATGCATGGCCAGGGTGAGAGAGTGAATACCAGAAGACTACTTAGGAGGCTACGGCCATTACAGGTATGTTTAACGATGAGTCCCAACTAAGGAAGCAACAGCATGAGTAATTAGGGGAGAGAGTTGAGTCTCTAAGAGAAATAATCAACAGAACTTCAACTCCACCGGATATGAAGAAATCAGTAATATTTCACCAGCTCTGGCATAAGCCATGCAGAGACCAGGCTAGCTTAAGCCCACATTAAAATAAGCTCAAGATTCCTTTATAGCCCAAAATTCTATTTAACCCCACCCTCGTACATCTAGCCCCAGTTTAATACAGGTCCTCACTGATTTACACAAAATTCTCCTAGGTAGCCCTGGAAACAAATCTCTCTATCCTAATCCAGTATTTCTCAAAGTATGCTCTTCCGCCTACCTTAAAAGGATCTCCCATGGTGCTTGATAAATATGCAGAGTTCTTGGCCCTATCCTAGACCCCATGAGGGACAAAACTCAATTCTATATGCCTTCTAATTTGAGAACCATTGGCCTAATCCAGCCTACCTACTACTATCAAATTTATTTTTCTTAAACCCTGCTTTCCTCATGTCACTTCCTTGTTCAAACTAACTTTTAATCTTCTACCTGGACTTCCAAGATCCTCTTTCAACTTGATTTTTCAAGCTTTCCAATATACGTTCTTTGTTCCAACAAAGTCAATTTCATTTCTTGCTTGCCTCTTCTCTGCTCCCTACCCACAGTTTGGTTTTTTCTCTAGGTCTTTGCATCAACTATTATTTTCACAATCTGAGAGCTTCTTTGTTGTCTCATCTCCCTTATCAAATCCCAGCCATCAAAACTAAGGATTCTTAAAAGTCCAGCTTAAGTCCAGAAATTTCCATGGAGTTTCCCTCTAATTACTCTACCCCTACTTCTCTCTCCAGCTTAAGAATCCCTACAACACTTACAATCAGCATGCACAATCTAAGGATTGATTCTTTCCACATATATTAGTAAAACTGTAAGACCTTATCCTTATTTTCCAGTCATCAATGAAGCTAACACAGTTCTTGGCACATAATAAGCACGAAAGAAATATTTGCTGATGTTTGAAATTATCCCAAAAGATTAATGGCTTTTTGCCCCTGGATGTCGCATAAATTAAAAAAGAAAAAAAAGGACTAACTCAACTTTTAAAAGCAAAACAAATATTAAACACATTCACTATTCTGAATACTATGGTACTTGATAATGTTAAAGATAATGTTTTCTGCCCTGTTCTCTAAATACAGACTGCTTAGTCATGAAGAAAAGGTATTTTACAAGTACCTCTTAATTACAATATAGACCTCATGGCATTATCTCAGGGCCTGGGATTGAGCCCGGCTGGACTCTCTGCTGAGCACAGAGTCTGCTTAGGTTTCTCTCTTTCCCTCTGCCCCTCCTTCCACTAATGTGCTCTCTCTCTCTCTAAAATAAATAATCTTTAAAAAAAAATCCTAAAAGACAGCAATAGAAAGAACCTTAAACAATAATGTATACCGATAACTTCAATTTAACCATTTAATAACTAAAGCTCAAAGAAACTACATGACTTGCTCAAAATCATACAGCTAATTAGTAGCAAACAAAGACAAAAAACCTAGGCCTCTTGACTGCACATCAAAGGTTGTTTTCATTATACTATGTGCTCAGTGATACTAAAATCAAAGTGAGATGCATTAATAAGTATTCCTGCTAGCATAAACCAACCTATTAGGAGTCTCTCCCTGCCATCCTAAGACATTGAGGTAAAACACCCAATTTCATCAGAATCATAAAAACTGAATCATAAAATCATAAACATAGGTACAACTCTAAAAAAATAAGTAAACTTTCTAAAACAAATATACGGGGTGCCTGGCTGGCTCAGTCGTTAAGCGTCTGCCTTCGGCTCAAGTCATGATCCCAGGGTCCTGAGATGGAGCCTCGCATCGGGCTCCCTGCTCAGCAGAGATTCTGCTTAGCCCTCTCCCTCTGCCTGTCGCTCCCACCACTTGTGTGCTCTCTATCAAATAAATAAATAAAATCTTTAAAAATAAATAAATAAATAAGACAAAATATACAAGCATATTCCAGTTCTAAAACATTTCCAAAACCAACAGGAAAAATATTTACCATAGCTAAATTCTCATCACCTGATCTTAATCATCTCACTACTTTGGTAAAATACACTCCAAAAGAAAAACCAAGTATACAAAATACCGTAAGCAAAAATCGCTCAATTCCCAAAAGCAAAAATTCGTATCTAAGGGTAGAACACATCTTTTGTACTCACCATAACTTTACTTCCAACTATCTGCATGCAGTGGTCAACGGAGAGTGGTTATGGTGTTAAAAAAAAAAAAAAAAAAAAACAGCAACAGTATTAGTAATCAGAAGCTTTTCACAGAAGTGTTTAGTAAATTAGTAAATAGCTAACCCTATGTATACTTTTAATACTTTAGATCTAGAGGCTAAAACAAATATACCAGTATTAATTTCTACCATATTTCAAAAACATGTAAAGTCTGCAGGATAAGGATTCCCAAATAAAAGAGTATTAATGTTTGAGGGATTTTTTTTAAATGTACTGTAATGGGCTTATATAGTATAAATCTCAAGTAATGTAAAATTAAGTGTAACCAGGCATCAGATATTTTACCAGCCTAAAGCCACTCAAAAAAATTAGCAATAGAAAACTGAATTTTTTTCCAATTTTTTTCTTTTCTCGGTATAACAGATACAATATTAAGGATGAAATAAGGCATCTTAGAATATAAATGTTGCATTCAAAGTCATGCATTATGAACTGCAGGTTGAAAACTGGAATATTTTATATTATGATTTTAAGGTTTTTAATATTGTTTTATATTATACTTGAAAATTACAAAGAAGATAGATTGCTTGTGATTCTACTTTTCTAGGTCATCCTAGCATTTGTATTATGAGATCAGATAATATAACATGAAGACAAAGAAGCAGTTATATGTAAACATGCAGATATTCATAGGGAGGAAACAGTTCAAAACCTGAAACTTTGAGCTTTCCTAATAGATAAGAGATAATAGAATTTCTGAGAAGCTGAACTGTGTTTAAGAAAGCAAGAAGTGAAATCACAGTCCTAACATAATTTTATGCCAAAACCCAATTATAAATCAAATTGTTGTTATCAGATTCCTACACTTAAATATCAAGCAATGCCCAAAAAAGAACTAATCCATAATCTAAAACCATTAATCTGAAAGCAGTTATTATCAATACGTGTTCTATTTTCAAGCTAGTACTTTTTTTTTTTTCCAGCTATTACTTTAAAAAGAAAAACAAAACACTGAAATCCCGGAAGAATCCTAAATTGAACAGGATACCACAAGATACAAAAAGATATTGACAGTTGCCAAGCAAATTATTTCAGGGGAATCCATGAATCTCCAAATAGAGAAGCAGCGTTCTTAAACATTCATTCAACAGACTATTTACAGGCAGTGATTATTTTCTTGAGTAAAAGCCTCTTTGGTGCCATTAACAGTCTTCTGAATTGAAAGATAGGCTATTGACCTAAATTATTTCCCAACCAAAAAGACAGAGGTCTTATTTGTCCCTTGTTTATTTAGCACAGACATGAGACTAAAACAAAAATGCAAGCCTGTCTTAATTAAGGAAGGTCTATACTCAGTGAAACAACCAGAATATAGCCCATTAGTAATTCATTATGATTGCAAAATGATTCCATTTAGCTAAAGCACATACAGTGAACAGATGAGATTTGGCCAACGGAAGCTAAAAGAAACAGGTCTGGTCATGTTTGACTTCAATTGTTTCACCTGAGAAAGAAAATATCTGCTAATGGCAAAAGCAAAACTGTAATACATGTATATACACACACAGAGATGTACGGTAACTTTCAACTGCTTGTTATATGGGTCAATCTAAAAATTTTATAGATGTATTTGGTATCACAACTTTAAATTATTTCCTATTGAGTTTTTTTTAATCAATGATACCTATCGATGTGTCATGTGTCTTAAAAATGTAACTACATATTTTAAAATCTCAACTTCAAAGATTGTGATTTAAGTTAGAAATAAACTAGTTTCTTAATATTCTAATAAAGACATTGGCTTTTGGCAAACTAATGTTAGGATTTCAGTGACTTATTTTTCCTCATGAATGTCTATATAGGCTGTTAAGATAGAACATACAAGACCCCCTAAATCACTGATATATTGTGCCTCTTTCAGGATTATGAATAGGTATGACAATGTTAGCAATATTAACAAAGCTTGGTTTTCCATTTCTGAAAATATATGCTGGTGTTTTGAAAATATAAATTCTTCCAGATTATTTGTGGCCAAATTATCAACATGTACCAACTACTATAGGTCAGGTCCATAACCACACTTGCTATAATGAGCAAATGAGTCCAGCTTGTGCAGAGAAGAGGTTCTTCTCCATTCCCTTATTTAAAATTCATTCATCACTGACAGTTATTCAAGCTACTTTTTCCTTTAACATTCATACAATTTAATATTCTCTATTATGGAACTTTAACAAGAAAAAACTAAGCAACAGTTTTCATCATTATCTTTCAGTTTCCTATATATTTTTATTCCATGCTTATTTTAGCAAAGTACATAAAAAAAAACTTGTTTGCTTTAGAAACAGGTTTTGAGCAAATACCTGTATATTAGTTTCATCTTGCTTTATTGTTTTTACCCAGGAACCCAGGAGAATGATGGACATTTCCTACTGAGTCCATATTTTGTTTGTTTTTCAATTCTATGCAAAATGACTTATGCAGGTGTTAAAGGGGGAAATGTACAATTTACTTTTAAATTTAACTATAATTCTCACGTTTTATATGTGACTATAAGACATTCTCCATCAGGAACACTAGCCCTTAACTTTGTTTTTACTTCAAGATTAAAGTTTTGACTACTTATAAAGTATTTTCATAAAGAAGTGATTACAATCATATCTACTTTAAATGAAGAAACTTTTTTTTAAGATTTATTTATTTTAAAGAGAGAGAGTACACGCACGAGCCAGTGGGGGGAGGGGCAGAGGGAGAGAGAGAATCTAAAACGGACTTCACACTGAGTGTGGAGCTGGATGCCAGGCTCAATCTCACGACCCTGAGATCATGACCTGAGCCAAAACCAAGACTCAGACACTTAACCGACTGCGCCACCCAGATGTCCCAACAAAGAAACATTTTTAATCAGTGTATCAATATAATGAAAAAGTAAGCCTAAAAAGTAGAAGATATACAACATGTCTAAAGCCTACTGAAAGATAGCAGGATGGAAACCTTGGTTACACATAGGTAAACAGCCATATGTTAACCTACAGTTTATGTAAATATTATTGATCATGAAGAGGTCAAAGATAAGAGGATTGTTTGTCATTAAATGGCATCCCTCTCACCCTCAAAAGAAAGTACATAAGCAATTTTCTTGGTTTTAACAACAGAAAACACAGTACTAATTAATGTCTCCCCAAGGTAAGAAAGTTTTAAAACATGTTTATCAACAGGCTTTCTTTCATTATAACATTTGGTCCATGCAAAAATATTAGGAAATAAAATGTATAATCTTGAAAATCTAATGAAAGAGCTATATGCATGTCACGTGCTCATATGTATGCTGAATGAAACAAATAAGGGTCACATAAATAGTTACAGTACTGATTTTGAGGCTAATGCCTGAAACAGAATTTTCATGTCTTTTGAGAAACATTCAATTTCCATCTTTCAAACAGAGCAATTCAAGAGAGATCCTCCAACATTTACCCAAATTTTAGCATTTTATGTGAAAAATGAGTATATAACCTAAATGTATATGTCTTTGGTCAGTTGAAGAGGAAACAATATGAGAATAAATAAAAACAAGTTCTACATGGAGTAAAAATCAAAAGGTTATAGAATAAGAGCTTTGTATAATCTTCATTATATTCAGTCCCACTTACGTAAACAAAAACAATAAATGAGTCAGAAACACTAACAAAATCTTATCATTAAAAACACATGATTATTCATATATTATCTGTACTTTGCATTCAGATTTAGTTATATAGATTTACTAGTGTATTTGCCTTTAGGTATTTGAAAAATAACACTAAATGTACACTCTGCATTTCCTAAAGCATTTTACTGTGAACAATAACTTGAGTGCAAAAATGAGAAGAGATTCATCACAATTCCGAAGTAAAACCCTCTGCATCACCAAATTCTATTGAAAACAACGCTCATGGCAAATTTCACTTATCACTTGAAACATATTTCTGCCTTTGGATACCAGAAGCAAATTAAAAAACATGCCGTTGCTCTGCTCTGGCAGAGCTGGAATGCATTATGTTTAAATAGTTCAGCATTCAGATTTAGCTTGCTTAAACTACAATATGGAATCAATACAATTGTAGAATTCAGGGCAAAATAAATCAGTAATTGCCACTGTAATTACTGTACTGAAATATCAGTAATAGGATAGCCAAGTAATTTTAGAACATATTTTCCAAAGAGGAACTATTTTCTTTACTGGTCAACTTTTTAAATTTAAAATATGGATTTTTTACATGTAAATGCATGTGTATTATTTATATACACACACATAATATACATACCACGCACACAAAATCAATGTGTTTGTGTGTGTGTATATACATTATAAAAAATGTGTGGTATATTTATGTGTCTACACACACATAATATATACACACATACACAGTGATTTGATGAAGTCTAGTTGTATAAAGCTTTTTCCTTAGAGAAATGTAAAAGATACATTTCATCATTTTAAAAATACATTTTTTTCTTGCAAAAAGAAATCAAACCTGAAGTCTATTTTTGGAAGCACCTTAGGAAGTGAACAAAGCCATATATCCTATTAAAACACTAGAGTTTTTCCTGCTGAAAAAAAGTCTTTCTACAGAACTCTACTTTCAAGTCTTTTGAAACTCACACAGATTTCATTAAAGCTCCTTCTATTAAGTACCCTCTTTTATACTAAATTAAGCTGTACAATAATTATGAGGTAATTTATATAGTTAGCATCACATAAAACAATGGAAAAAAAACTAAAACAGCATAATAAAAATATTGCTAAAAATTTCATGCAAGGAGAAACCAGACATAAAGCTTCAATGGAAACTAAACTTGTGACTAGCATATGTTTGTGTCTTCTCCCTCAAAATTCAAAAGTTTCATATAACAAACAGTATATTTAGTGGAATATCTACAATTTAGGACATGCACAAAACCACTGCCCCAAAACTCACTGGATTAACTCAGAGCCTTCTATACTGTCTGTATTGTTTAAAATAATGAAAGTCTAATTATAAGCGGTTTTTAAGTACATACTAAATGTGTAAAAACACACATATAAATTTTTTCTGAATAGGCTATATGAGAACAGTGAGGCAAGAATTTGAAGATCTGAGGTTTATTTTTGCACAGATAATGCTGAACTCATTATGGTAGTGCCGGGAAAGTGTCACTACTTACAGATTTGGCAGTAGCAGAAATATACTGGACAACCATCTCACGCTTGGTGGTAAAATCTTTGTTTCGTAAAGGAGCTTTTCGTTCTTCATTAAGGTTCATGTCCTCCTGTTAGAAAGAACATCTGTTGTGAGCATTTACAAATTTCTGCTTGAGTTTCGAAAGTGATTAATACTAATATTCTCTTTTAAAATAGTAAGCCATGCTGTGACTAACAACAATGATCATTCTGGTGGATCCTTCACTATTATTTTTCACTCCAGATACCATAACACTGTATAAATTTTACCATATATTCATGGTTCGTATCTCTACCGAGTCAACTAATGAGCAGAAAGAAAAAATTTTAAACTATTCCACAGAATAAACTGGCAGTTTTGTAGCATACATCAGATAACCTTAGCACAGATATTAATTTACCCTGATAGCAAAAATAAACACTTTACTGTTTCGCATATTCTCCCTTAGGATCACTATTATCTAGAAGAACAAATACGACTTTTAAACTAACAGGAAATATATATCTATGTCACTGAAGAAAAATTCTTGAGAAGTTGCTGGATTTGGAAAGCAAAAAAATACCAGAAATATAGTCAGCTGTGCTGAGATGACAAAAATTACTCATTGGAGGAAAAAACATTTAGTTGCAAGAATACATTGTTTTAAGGTTCAATAAGCTTTGATTTGGCTGGGAATCTTTATTATGTGATACACACACATATAACATTTTCACTAGATTTTCTTCACTTTTAAACTCATATTAACCCTTACAACATTTTAAGACACTCATGAGGGGGTCACAAAACCAAGCTGGAAATGACTATGATTCAAAAAGCAACATCAGGAGCACTTGCATGGCTCAGTCATTAATCATACAACCTTGATTTCAGCTTCGGTCATGATCTCAGGGTTATGAGATCAAGCCCTCCATCAGGCTCTGTGCTCAGCAGGGGGTCTGCTTGAGATTCTCCCTCCCTCTGTTCCTCCCCCCACTCATATGCTCTCTTTCTCAAATAAATCTTTAAAAAAAAAAAAGCAACATCAGATGAAAGGACAACTTACAGAATGGGTTAAAATGTTTCCAAATCATGTCTGATAAGGGACTTGAATCCAGAATATATATAGAACTCTCAGAAATCAACAATGAAAAGACAACCCAAATACAAATGGGCAAAGGATTTGAATAGATATTTCTCTAAAGAAGATATACAAATGGCTGGTAAGCACATAATGTTCAACATCATTATTCATTAGAGAAATGAAAATCAAAACTACAAATGTGATACCACCTCACTCCCACTAGGATGGCTAGGATACAAAAAAAAAAATGGTAATGACAAATATTGGTGAGGATATGGAGAAACTGGAACCTTCACAAATTGCTGGTGAGAATGTGAAATGATGCAGCCACTTTGTAAAATAGTCTACAGTTCCTCAGAAAGTTACACATAAAGTTGTCACATGACCCAGCTTATAATTAAAATGAAGACATATGTCCACACAAAAATTTGTACATGAGTGTTCATAGCAGTAGCATCAAAGAGAGGAAACAATCCAAATGTTCATCAAATGATGAATGCATAAACAAATATGGTATGTCCAGACAATGGAATATTCACTCATAAAGAATGAAGTACTGATAAATACTATAGCATGAATGAAACTTGAAACCACATTATGCTAAGTGAAAGAAACCAGTCACAAAAGACCACATATTATATGATTCCATTTATACTAAATGCCCAGAATGGGAATATAGAGACAGAAAATAGATGAGTGGTTGCCAGGGGCAGGGGAGGGAGAATGGGAGGATTAGGGTGTGACTGATGATAGGTGTGGTGTTTTACTGAAGTGATAAAAATGTTCTAAAGTTGATCGTTGTGATAGTTTCGTATCTCTTTGAATATACTAAAAAACACACTGAAGTGTATATTTTGACAGTGAATTTTATGGTATGTGAGCTGTATTTCAATTTTTTTAAAATCAGTATTTTTATCCTTTTATTCTCTTAATAATTCTGGCCATTACTATTTTTTTAATCAAGGAAAGTAATCAGCAAAAAAAAAATCAACATTATTTTAAAAACTCATCTGTAAGAATGTGAGGGGGGAAAAGGATCCATGAAAAGAAATCAAGCTGCATCTATCTATAGAATACTAACTTCATTGACAGCAAGAATCTCAATCTATATTTGCATGCATTGCAGTGACTCCTCTGATTTGTTCACAGTCAATACCTATAAATTTTGTTTATATATACAAAGGATCCTCCTTACTAACCACCTCTGTCACGGTCTCTACCCCTATCTTTCCTATCTTATTTCCTTAATTCTCATTTGAATATCGGCCATCTGACTTGAAGACAGAAGACATCTTTTTTCCCCTCTCTCTCTCATAGGCTAGATCTAGCATTGTTGAGTCAAAGCATAATCAGAGAAACAAGGCTGGATAGCACTTTTAATGTAGTCCACAGATGCTCATCTATGCTTGGAGTTGACTAACAGAAAACCTATTATCTCACAGGCAGCCCATCCCATATTAGGGAAGTTTAATTTTTCCCAAATTTTTCTTTGGAAGACTAAATGTGCAACAAAATATAATAGCGAGTTAAAGTGGCAAGACTATGTCATTATTTTTTCTTCTCTACTTCCTAAATATCGAATCACTTATTTACTGGACATGTGCCATGCACCAAGGAGTATGCTAGGCTGGCTAGGGGAGTGCAAATTGAAAGAAGGCTTGTACCCACAAGTCAAATGAATTCTCTATGAAGCACTTAGAACAATGTCTGATACTTAGTAAATGTTATCTTTGTTAAATAAATAAAAATAAATAATTCATGGTCTAGTAGGGAAAACATATATGCAAACAAGATGCTTTGGGAACACAGCAGATGGAAAGATCAGAGAAGTCTTTACCAGGATTTGGGTCTTAAAGGATGAGAAAAATCTTAGTCAAGTCAAGGAGACTAGCAAGGAAACCATGTCTTCTGTCATATTTGGCTGCTCAACAGCATTTAAACATGCTCTCTACATTTTAATACATCCTCACAATGTCAGTCCCACCTAACAAGGAAAAATCCATAAAAACTACATTTGTCAGACTCCCTTATAACTAGAGTACAGACACGTGGCTTAATGCATTTATAGGATGTGTTGATTCAGAAATGAACGATGTAAAGAAGCAGGCCACAAGTAAGCGATCCATGCTGCTGGCATGGATGGCAATACAGGAGATATGGTTACGGAACTGATGGCAACCTCTGCATGTTTTTCATCATGACAGTTTGACCAAGTGGTTCTGGGATGGCAACAGCTCCTACATTGGACCAAATTTCAGTTGTATGGTTCTGGAAGTTACTCCTGTGATATTATCTGAGGACTGTTTCTGCAATTCACCCTATTCAAGAGCTACCTAGTATCTTCAAGAGCTACCTGGTATCTCTATAACTAGCCAGAACAGATTCCCTTATGTTCAATAATTTGGGCTACTAAATTTAAGTGACTAGTGCTAAGAGTCTAAAATAAGAGAGATGGTAATCAGACTAGATGAGGTTAATAAACTCAAGAACCATTATGTTATTTGAAGCATCATTCTCTCTTTCAGGCTAAGTTATTTGAAGGTATCATTCTCTCTTTCAAGCTTAAGTATACCTACCTGCTTCAACTTATTTTCATTTGACATGGCTTAGTGTCCATATTTATTTTTCTCAAATACGCTGTGGTTTGATAAATGCAAGGAAGGAAAGGACTGCCACCTCCGTCATCTTGAAATACATTACCTCTATTAATTCGGCCTCTGATTTTATGACCTTATTGGCCAGCACATCATTCTGCTGACTCATAGTGTTTGTTTCCATCAAAACCCCTAAGCACTGCTCACATGTGCTAGGCTAGATTTCTACAGCCTCAAAACATTCTGGGTAAATTATAGTCTCCTACAAATGTGGTTAGCATGAATCTGCATCCCCCAAGTAGAATCAACTCTGAAATGCCAACAAGATTGAGTGTCTGTTATCTGTACACCTCACAGCCAGGCCTAAGAATATGGTAGTGCCACCTCTGGCAGTCTCTAGGTAGAGCGTTGACTCTCCTTCCAGTGATATTTCTACATTGTAATGAGCCTCAATTCAATTTTTAATGACATATACTGCTAAGATCATGCCATCAGAGTAGAATCATGGAGGTAGACAGTATAAGAATATATGATTACAGGACTCAAAAGAATGTTGTGTGGTTTAAGTGTGATCATGCACATTAAGCCTGGTGTATATTAACTAGCCTTCAAAGAATGCTTTAATACTGCAAGGTTGTTTGTAGTTTTCCTACATACACTATGCTATTACACGTTTCCATTACTTTGTTCATGATGCTCTTCTGCCTAGAATGCGGTCATCTTCACCACCCTCTCCCTCTAATAACCCTCACCCCATCTCATCAGACCGACCCCACCCAAATCCTTATCTGGTTAACTTTTCAAGATTTTATTTATTTATTTGACAAGGAGAGATAATGAGAGAACACAAGCAGGGGGAGCGGGAGAGGGAGAAGCAGGTTTCCCGCTGAGCAGGGAGCCTGATGTGGGGCTCGATCCTAGGACACTGGGATCATGACCTGAGCCGCTTAACGACTGAGCGACCCTCGCGCCCCATTATCTGGTTAACTCTTAATCCTTCCGATTTACCTTCAAATTTCCCCCTGAAACATCTTATTTAGAAATCACTATCTGCATTCGATTCTTCCATATTAATTCCTATATTATTGCACTTAAACTAAAACTATCTGATAAATCCATCTCCCCTAAACTCTATGCTAACTTGAAGGCAGAAACTGGGTCTTTTTTTTTTATCTTTGTACTCCCAGCAAAGAGCATAATTCCTGGAATGACTAAGCATTTAATAAATATTTGTTGAACCAATGTGATATTTAGGAACTTTTCTCTAAATATTTTAATTTGCTTTACAGCTACTGACATTTTTATACCTATAAATTTGCCACATAGGTTGATTGGGAATAGGTACCATTCATATGAACAGAACAGACAACAATGACTCATTTTATTCTTACAGAAGTAAGATGCATACTGCCAATTAGATAGCTAATATTTCCA